GCCATCCTAGGAGACCCACCTTGGTGTCCCAGGCAGGCTCAGAAAGCACCTCCCTTCCCTCCCCCAGGAGGCTGGGGGCGGGGACATGCCATGTGGGAGGCAGGTACTGAAAGGAGCCAAGAGGGGACTTGTCCCTGACTTTCTAGCCTAGAAGAGCTGTACCTTTTTAGTAGAGGACCCCTTAAGGGGCCACAGAAGGGGGTACGCTTGATACTCTTTGGTAAAAGGGTACCCCAGTCCGCTTTACCATGGAGGACCTCCCCTCCTCCCAGCAGCCCCCCACAAAGTGGCCTCATGCCTGGAGCCTGCTGTGTCCCCCCCCAGATACCTGTATCCTTGGACTCCCACGACAGAGAGTGCCCCCCTTCCAGAGGACCTCTTACACTAGCTTCGGGGAAATAAGAACATTCCTGGCATCCCGCAAAGGTAGCTTTTCCCCCTCCTCCTGTGCCTGCCAGACCCTGGTCCTTATATCCCCCCTGATGTCCACACTATGGTTGGAGTGTGGGGAGAAGGGCAGTAGAAATATTGCGGAAAAGGCATCACAAGCAGGCTGGCTGGGAAGGAGAACTGACTCATTGCCCTCCAGGGTGAGCACAGTCATTGGGACGTCAGATGTTCAAGCCCCTGCCTCCAGGTAGAGCCTCAGGGAACATGCCTGCCTTTGAAAGAAGAAAACCCATCAACTTTTTCTCAGCTTTGTCCTGCTTTCCTGGGGGACCCAAGGCTCTAATTTCCTTACCTATATAAAGAGGAAGAGGATCGTCTGTATGGTAGGAATTCTACCTGCGGGGTGATGAGTGTCTATAACATGCCCAAATGGGGCTGAGGGTGGTTCCTGGAGCAGGAGCTTTGATGCTGAGGACCACGCCTTCCCTTGGCAACCCCTTGTGGTACCCAGGTCCTCAAGGACAATTCTCCTGTCCTCCCAGTTGCCATTCTCCCTCAGTCCTGCCCCACATCTACCCTCACAGAGGGTGGCTTTTCTTCCTCCAGACCCTCACCCACAACCAGATTAACAGACCAAAAGATGGCAAAATGCTCACACCAAAGACACAGCCCTGGGGGTGGAGCAGAGGGGTGCACATCCTGAGTCCATTCTCCCAGGGCGGGGACCAGTGCTTACCACGCAGTCATCACTCTGGGTGGGCGACTCTTGGAACAAGTTGTTTCCACCAGGGCCACATTCAGTTTGCTCGAAATAGAAACAGAGGGCTTCTTGACTTGCGTATGATTTGCATAATGTCATAGACACACAGTCTATTTTCAGGCAGTTTTCAGGTTAAAGTGTTGTCACTGCTGCCCTGCGGGGTGTCACGTCTTGATGAGTCTCTTCTCTGTTCCTTCTCATCCACCCACTCTTACTGACCTAGATCCCCGACTGCAGGAGCAAGTGGGGAGGTGGGGGCAGAAGGGTCATCCAGGGGGACATAGGGGCAGGGCAAGAAGTACACTTCCTTTATTACTGCCACCACGGAAGGCAGAGCGGAGCTGCTCAAGAACAGCTGATAGGCAGAGGGCAAGGAAGGGGGAGCAAAGTGGCCCCTGTTCTGTTCTGCACAAACCTTCCCCGCCTCTCCTACCAGAGCAGCCAGTTCCCATACTCTTGGTTCAGTCTTGGGTCAGTTTGAAGGGAGACGGCTAGATAAACCTGTTCCTCTCGGCATCATAAAGCCGTGCTTGACCCTCATATTCCTCTTGGGTATTTATTTTCAGCACTAAGATTTGATCTTCGCCTCCTGTGAAATCTGACCCTCAGTCCATCCCTCTCCTGGGAGCCCCGTCTGGGATGCCCAGAACGGGCACTGTGCTCTGAGGGCTCAAGGCAAACGCACTAGTGGGGCCAGGGGTGGTGACTGGTACTAAGTCGTCTGTGACCTTGGCAGGTCACTCAGCCTCCGGGTGAGAAAGGAGTGGGGGTTGGATTTCAGGGGCAAGGGTGATTCTCATGGCATAGCTTGAGCCATTTGCTGACCTGTCCTTGGTCACAGAGGGCTAGGCTGGAGCCCCGTCCAGGGCATCCTCAGGGCCTGTCTTCTGTGCTGTCTTACTAGGTAGACCTAAGGATTCACCAGTTGCCAAGGCCAGGAGCCTGGGAGACTTGCCGAGTCCTGGGAATCATAAGGGCACACTATCAGGCTGGACAGCAGCAAAGAACCACCCAGAATTCCCGGCCCCAGCGTCCCGTCCCCCTGGACCTGCCTCGTCCCCTTAGGCAG